ATATCTTTGAGAAAGGAGCAAAATTAAACGCAAAAGATCGACGTCTCGAGCTAAACCGATGACGGAAACAATATATGGGAGTTTTCTGGCGTTTCTTGGTCCCGTGACCGGAATTAACCGGGTCTGTCCTACATTTCCGGGAAGAATTTTGATCGTGATCCGTGGAAACGGTCCGATCACCGCAATCCTGTCGCGAATCCTGATCGGGAATACCCCGGTTACGGTTTAATTTCCATCCGCGCGACAAAGATCGGGTCCGTTCGCACAGTTAACCCCGATTCGACGGACGAACGGAACGCGTTTTGCATTCCCTTTTCGATCGGAAAGGTCGCGTACTCGCTCCCAATGGAATTACGCGGACGCTACGACACGCGTACAAATTACACCCACCCACGCGCTCACACGGACCCCGCTCTACAGATCCGCACTGCGAATCCTCTTCCTTCCCCGGTACCCGTTAAAGAAAATAAATCGTTTCCTCCATCGACTCGATAACCCAGTCCTCCTCCATCCCCTTGCGGAAGACACCCACCCACCCCCCACGGTCGGAGCCATTTAAATAATCAACCGGACGGAAGAACCCTTCCACGTTGCTTCTCCGTTGGTCTCCCGCCCCTACAGGATGCTTCCAAAAATATATTAACGCCCCGATGACCCCGGGCTTCTGCCACCAAAAACGTCTAAATAAACCTCCATCGATTCCTTTTTATACACACGCTTTCTGCTTTATTTTCTACACTCCATCGGGAACTCTTTCTCCGTCAGCGTTCGGGCAATATCGATTCGCATTTTTCGAGCAAAAATCTCTGGGCGAAATCGAGCACAATATCGCCAAACTCCGGACCCCTCGTATGTAAATCTCGTTTTATGTTCACGAGTTCCGATTTAAAGTACGCAGATTTAAATCCAACTATATTCCAAACGCTTCGCGAACGAAAATAATCCCCGAATTCGTAATTAACGTTAAACGCTCGGACCGCGACTCCGTCGAAGGCAGCCCCGGAAACTTTTCGTCGTTTTATATCGTCGCCGCAGGAAATCCCGATTCACTTCGGCCGGAAGTTCCTAAGCTACTTCAACTTCGAACGTGTAAACGCCAACTCGCGTAAGTAGAAGTTATAACATCGACGTTACTCACGGGGGAACCAGCCGGACCATAATGTCCGATTTACGCGAAACTTTGCGGCACTCCGAAGCGCCCGAAAATATTCGAACTCGACGAGTGTCCCGCTTTTTTCGATCTATTTTCTCGTGTTCAAACTTTCATATTCCACTGGTCCGTATTTAGACTATCTTTCTGAGGCAAAGGATCCTTCTACCATTTTAAAATAATAATTTAAGCACGATTTACGCGAAACTTTGCGGAGCTCAAAAAGATCCAAAAATATTCGAACTCGACGAGTGTCCCTGCTTTTTCAATCTATTTTCTCGTGTTCAAACTTTCATATTCCACTGGTCCATATTTAGACTATCATTCTGACGCATAGGATCCTTTTACTATTCTAAAATAGTAATATAAGCACTATTTACGCGAAACTTTGCGGAGCTCAAAAAGATCCAAAAATATTCGAACTCGACGAGTGTCCCTGCTTTTTTCAATCTATTTTCTCGTGTTCAAACTTTCATATTCCACTGGTCCATATTTAGACTATCATTCTGACGCAAAGGATCCTTTTACCATTTTAAAATAGCAATATAAGCACGATTTACACACTTCAGAGTTGGAGTGTTTTTACTTTAACGACGATGTAATTGTTTTGAAGGGTCCTGTACTCTCCGGGCCGATCCTGGGGCACCGTCCTCCGTTCGGAGATTCTTTTATTGCTCCGTCTCGGTTTTTTTATCTCCTGGATAGCGAGGCAGAATTTATGCGCAGCCACGTTAAATTCATCGTCGAGTTCGTTAACAGTATCTCCCGGACTGCAGCGTCGGATTGTTTCGTTCGACGGAGAAACGAACGGGGACAGGCTTGGCGAACAGACAACGGTCGACAGGATCCCGACGAGACCGCCGGAGCGCCTCGAGATCCTAATTGAAACGATATCGTAGTTTTCAAGCGAGTTTGTTCGACGCGAGAGGAACGTTTCCGCGAACGGATCCGGCCCAAGTTCCCACCGGAATCTTCATTATTCACGGCGCCATTTTGCAGACTCTTCGTGCGACGTTCGACTAAAAATTCCAACTTCGAGCGATCATTTTCTGAAATGAAATTCCACCCACCGCCGCGTCCTCGTATCGCGAAGCTTTCAATTTATCTTTCGCTCTCCCGTCAGCGATCCTTGATCTTTTCCAGTTCACGGCACGATATAATTAAAGATACGTTTTTCTTTTTACGCTCGCGGGGAAATGCCTCCCGCGGGTTTTGTTATAAAATAATTGCAACAACGAGGACAGACGTTCCATGAAACAAGAATTTAACGACGTTATGAAACGAAATATGCTAACGACGGATTTCTGACAAATATTTTTTAATACGGTCAAACGTCTAATTATGGCGTAGAACGTGGAACGACTTGGGTCATTATTAGAGGGTGGGGCGAGTTTGTAAGTCCCATTAGACCCGCGTCAATCAACGACGCCTTCTTTTATACCGCCATTTCGCTGTCTAGCGGTATACCGCCGTGATGTCCTGACACGGGTCACGTCGTCTCAACGTCAGGAAGTGGTTCTCGAAAATCCTCCCGTTATCCGACCAGTCACAATACGGCGGTAGATTTTTGATTGTCATAATATTTAGCCAAAGTGCGGCGTCGCTGTTGCTGGCTATCGTGTTCAACCCCCGAAGACTACAAAGGGGAACGATGACAGGGCAGAGATAGAAAATGCAACGCCAAGGGGAAGTGCTTTGAATCCTGCTTCCGCCGTACAATACACCCTTCCATTATTCGTACCAAAAAGAAAGCAAGGACTTTCAGATAATAGGAAGCTCGTCTTCCCGATATATCAAGGAGCTGACTGATAAGGTCTCCCATACAACGTGTTCGAAACGAAATAATCGAAAGTAATTTGAAAACTTTGATTAAAAATAAATTCTCCGATAAATGCGAACGCACGATAGTATATTCGAATAATGGTGTTTCGATGAATGGTGGAACAAGGACAATAACGAAGCTTCGAGCAGTGTTGACCGCGCCAGCTTAATAAGCTCCAGGGGGTGAGAGATCAAAAGCGTAGCGGAAGCGTATTTAGGAAAATTGGAAATCTTTGGACGCGAATCGAAGTCTAATTACTACCTTGAGTCGCGTTAGCGTCCAAACTTGCTGATAGATTTCGATTAAAGTCTGACCCCAATTCCTGCCAAAGTTCCCCGAGCGATGACATTCCAACTTGTGTGAAAACCGTCGAGTTCCTAATAGATTATAAACGTATTTCCCAAAAAACTATTTTTCTTGATACAGAGTAGATCGTTCAGCCGGTTTCGCCGATAACTGAAGAAGGAAAAGGAGGCTAAGAAGGCGAGTGGAGGCAGAAATAACGAGTGGCTTTCGGTTTCGAGCGGAACAGAGTCGCGATTAAAGGTCTCGTTGAAAGAACTCCAGTGGCTGCGAAGAGGCTTTTGGCTTTTTCCGTGCTCGTTGCCACGGCCCTCCGAGAACCACTGTAACGACCTTAAAAGCATCTGATGAATTTAACGCCGTGCGCTTTTCCGCGAATCGAACGGAAACAGACCTTTATTAGCTCCCTTAACAAATTTCTCGACGTCGAACACAGAGACGAAGTGGCAATCCAACGTGTGATTTTCGATAAATCAATTTTACCCGCTGTTGCTGGGATAAAGGCAAACCTGGAATATCATTATACGTCGAATAACAGATAACAATTGCGTATATCTCCGTTGTCTAACTTTCCGCGAGTTACGGAGTCACGCAGGGGACCGTGTATGCTTCTCGTTATAAAGTACAACCTTGCTCGCGAACTAATAGGGCTACGCGACTGTTACGCCAAGGAAGTTTTCCAGTAATAGAACGCTTACTTTTACGAATTTCTAAATTACCAGCGAGAAATCGGGTATAGAAAATTGAACGTTATAATTAAAAATAAACAAAGTTGATCTCCACGTCTCTTGCACGTCTTCGTTTGCAAGCATACCACTTGTCGTGTACTTTTTTAACCCTTTGTTCTTGATGTCAAGTTTCACGATCACGAGGCTACATTTTTACATTCGCAAGGTACGAATAAATTTAAACAGAATTAAATGGTACGCGTTCGAAAAATTGTTTGGAATTAAATGGTACGTATGTAACATTTTCTCGAGACATTCGGGTGAAATAAATGAATAATGGGCTCGGAGCAGTTATGGAAGACCGTGTCGACGGAACAGAGGGACGGATATTGGCTGGAAAGGCCGCGTTCGAATAATGGAACGATCCAATAGGGTGTTCCGATGGCGGACAGTTCGAGTAACAGAAGCACTCCGTTCGAATAATAGAACGTGCAAATAGCACGGCACTCGGATGGCTGAACATTTGGATAACGTAGGTTGCACAGCGCCGGTCAGCTGTGTCTCGCTGTCAGAAATACCTCCAGCGTTCTTTCTCGAAAAATCAATGTCCCCTCCCCCCGTCGGTTCGACGATTCGCTTTAATTTAATCCCCCCGGTTACAACGCGCGTACGTTTCGTTTTCGCATCGATCGAGTCGCAATCGCGCGTGTTTACGGCCGCCTGCGTTTTTGCCCGTTTCAGGTCTTCCCGGTCCGTTCCTTTACGTAACAATTATCCAACACGTCGTTGCGTCCCGGTGTCTGGCAACGAAACGAAAGCGTCCCCGCACACGTGCACGCCCTCCGACGCGGGTTACGAGGGTGCGCGGAGAAAGAGGGAAACAAGAAAAGCAGTCCGGGGGTGGCTCGTTGGATTAATCGACGAGCGTGGTCGTGATGTTTTCGAGGATAAAGACGGTGAATTGAAACGACTCGTGACAATCGTGTACTCGTAACCGGTACGTATGTACCAGTCAATTAAGCCGAGGTGGACGTGGAAACACAGGGTGGCGACTTACCTCGAATGCAGGGCGCAGCCACGCTGCACTGTGGGGTAACTAGAGGACACCGGCGGAGGTGGAGCGCAGTAAGCCGGCGGTAGCGTTGGATCATGTCTGTGGAAGTGGTTATGCCGATGGCTGTGGGAGTAGCTCAGGGAACCCCGCACACTACCGGGCAGCTGGCGATGCGGCGTTGACTGATCGCTGAAACAGGCAAAACGGGAATCTTCAAGGTGTGTTCCTCTTAAAACCCTGGCTAGCCAAACTATCGTTGGGCAGGGTAGAGATACGGGGATGGAATTGGACTTTTTGGGTCTAGATAGGTCGAAATCCTTGATGAAGATTGCGAGAGGACCTGGGGGCACTGCATCGCGTAGATACAGGGTGCTAAAGAGTGAGTGGTGGTAAAACTCGACCCAAAAAGAGCCAAGATCCTAGGTAGCCAAACTATCGTTGGGTGGGATAGAGATATGGAGATGGAATGGGATTTCCTGGGTTTAGGTAGGTCGAAAACCCTGATGAAGAATCTGGGAGAACCTGGGGACTCTGTATTACATCGACACAGGGTACTGAAGAACGAGGGATGGTTGAGGAAGAAGTCAAGGACCTGGTGGTCAGACTCGACTGGAAAAGACCCTACAGGAAATTGTACTCGAAGTCAAGATGGGTCGTCGAACGATAGGGGACACGAAAACACTGATAATTCCGAGTCTTGGCCCCTGGCTGATGCGCCAAGGGGTAGATAACGACACTTATGAGATCTTTGGATCGTTGTAATTATAGGCCAAGTGAAAAACTCGTTGTCAGGTACGGGATTTGGGTCTCCCGATTAAGTATTTTATTATAAAGTGATATAATTTACATTTTGTATTTAGTTACCGTGATAGTAGGGAAGGGACGAAGGTTAATTTCTACGTTATTTACTTCCTCCGTCGTTTAAGTGACGCTGTAAATTACCGATGCGGCTACACAACAGTCTAAAGAGACATAACTGGAATGTAAATCACTGTAACATAATGCGCATGCAGTCGGTTAACCGCAAAACGTTTTATCCGTCTAGCCGTGTACTAACCGAACAATTGACTGCCAACTGGCTACGCGATAAAACCAGTTATACCGAAGCCAATAATCATCAATCATTGCGCGTATTACAAGGTAACTGGCTCCGACTGAATTTCCCCTTGATATCGAGATTCAACCTATGATTTAATTTCAATATCGATGGTAGGTGGAAAGAAAATGATAAAATTGCGACGATAGATAGGTAAGAAACCCTTGCAAGTTTTTATCGTTACCTAACTCGGATCAATGTCTGTTTTATTCGCTGTTGATGATATCTGACCCTTTAAAATCTTAGATTTATCGACTATCGCAAATAAACCTCCCTGCTACGGTTCTCGCGAGCTTACCATTCCAGGATAAGGCAGGAATCTGCAGAACATGGATGAAAAAATACAAGTTACCTTACCCTTCAAAGATAAGAGAGGAAAGTGATTTTTGACGATATAGCGAGTTCGATATTTATCGAACTCTTTTTTTTCAACGCCCAGAAAATGCACAGCAAATACTGACGATAAAAATGATGTAAATAAAAGCAAACAATATTGAAATTTACTATGATTTCACACCCTGATAAAGAAATCGAAATGGCTGACTTTCTTCTACTCCAAGCGTTGGAAATTCGCGTAGATCAATTTTAAACGGAACAACGTCGAATAACAAACCTTTGATTTACGACACAATTTCATCCAGAAATAACTCTTTCCAGATACCAAGTGAAGTCTTATCGGAGATAATACGTTCGATCGACGATTAGAACACCCAGAACTGATAACAACTTATTCAGATTGAACTACATTCATAATCTACTACTGGGTAGTTCAGGCACGGTTTTCCAATTTCATAGACTAATCGATCATCCATTATCGCAAATAGCGCGTTCTAACTGCTGTTCCCAACTATGCAATCCATCTCCGAAACTCTAACGCTAACGATTTCACAATTTTCATATCGATTAACATGTGATAAACCAAAACTGAAAATTCCCCTCGTTTAACAGCCAATCGCTGCGCCGCGATGGTTGCGCGCAAAACCGACGTTGTCGAGCTTTCTAATTGTTTTAATATTCTTAGAAGGCGATCGAACAGGACTTCAACTACGTGAATATCGATTCGTTAGGCAGCTTGTAACAAATTTATGGGATTTCGCACCTGCTAAATAATTACACACAATAGGACTCTCGTTACATCCGGTTACGGCATGTAAACCACCTGGACGCTTCCACTGAACGCACGAATTCCCACGAACCTTCGCTTCAGATAACGCGCCAACGCTCGAATAGAATTTTACACGACTGGAACGTTGTCTGTTTCGCATAAACTATCGCGCCGCTTAGATAGCCCAACGAGACTCCGTGGAAAACAATGTCCGATACAATTTATCGTAACGATTCGAGCAACAGAATTATTTCCACCGTGTATTTATAAGTTATCTTCGAATAAAATGTATTTGCGCTGTTTATTGTCCAGATTAGTTTCGTCGACAGCCTTTGCGGCGTTTCTCGATGGCCCTCGATGTGTACTTTTCTTTTTTTTTTTTTTTTTTTTTATCTTTCCTCGACAAGATATCGTGTCGTTAAACCGTTTGGTTTTCAGATAAGAGTGCAACCGTTGCCACGGAGGCTTTAGTCCGAGCCCTTTCGACACTTCCGGTCTCACACTCCTTTTCACGTAGCCGCGCCAGATAAAATCGTTTGCTCGATGAAACTAAACCGCTACTCGAGGCTACGTGCTATCCGATATATTCTCGAACAACGTCTCGAAACAAATTTAACATCCTCCATAAACGAAAAATTCACTATCCACCGTCGGATAGAAAATTAAACGTGTTTTCCTTTGGGTTACGTGGACAAATATTTTAACGGTTGAAATATGGATATTTCTTACGCACCCCCATCTCAGCCCCCAACCGGAAGAGACGCTGTTCGCTACAATGTTCTACGTTCGAGTCTTCGTGGAGTTTTAATTGCCAACGCAACAATAGTCGCGAAATCGAGATCGAGATAACATCGTAATACCTACTTGAGATTGTCCATGCGTCATGCTGCTGGCCGTACCGTGGGCGCAAAAACATCGAGTATTAAAAAATTGGAACGATCGGAATCAAGTAATTCACGGAACAATACGCTCGTGAGCCACTTCGTATCGATGCTTTCGTTTGGGCGGGAAAACATGCAAATTTCCAACGGAAGATAAAACATAACGATCGTATTATCGTATGGAACGTTGCAACCCTCCTTCGATTCAGTTTAATCTTATCCTTCGCTAAATTAAATGATGTTATCGGTGCGCGAAACGTATTTAAATCCGATTCTCAGCTGGTGCACAGCGGTGTCTGCATATTTTTGAAAATTCCATAAAGAACAAACCGTCAAAGGTTTCGTTCGCGAGGAACGGAATTACCAAACTCGATCCCGGATGCGCGAGTCGTCAATGTCGGCTGCAATGTCGCAGTAACTAGATCCCTGGCGAATAAATTACGGAAGCTTAACCTCCAGATCGTCGGAAGGGAGCACGGAGGACCCGGGTATTTCAATTACAGGGAAATATGCATGAAAAATATAACAGGCAAAATATCGCCGTGCAATATTAATTCTGTGTGCCCCTTTGTGCGCGAATATATCGCTCGGCGATCTCCGCGCGACGTATCGGCGAATAAATACAAATAATCGCCCAAGTGATCCGTGGAATTTACACAACAAAAGTCGTCGATATCGCGTGCGCAATATCAGAAAAATATTCCGACATTTAACAAGAATTTATCGACGTTTCGACACTGTCATCGAAAATTGTCCAGATGTACAATTTTACGTAAATTTACAGGATACGAACCAAAGAAATCGTCTGCTCGTTATTGTATTTGTCCAGATGGGACACTGACGGTTTAGAACTCTGTTCAGATTTATACATTTTTCGTAAAATGCTCGTCCAGGCGTAATCGTAACTTTATTAGTTTTTTCTTATCCGTCACGCGTTATCTGGAAACAGATTTACCCGACTGCGAGCAACGCGTGTGAACGGCGGCGCGACTAAATTCCTAAAACGCTCATTTGCCTCGTGGCAAGTTTCCAAAGCGTGTTCAATTAAACAACCGCAGGTTTTCATCGATAACCCAGGCTGCGTAACGACGTTAATTACACAAACGAGAGCAAACTCGCGCCCCGAGTCTGTCACTGTGCGCGTGGATACCTCCGCGAAGCGGCTTCCGGTCGCACGATCTCGCCTAACGAGAAAAGACGAGGAAGTTAAAAGACGAACGAAGAAAAAAATGGAAGTTCGTAATACGACGTCGACGGAGAAATAACGTTAGGTCGTCGCGATGGATTCGCTACAGGCGCAGTTAAGAAGGGAAATTTATGCCCCGGGTTGCGCGACAACTTTCGCGTAGCCCGGTGTAATTCAAAATTACCCGACGCCCTGGTAAAACTTTCGTCGAAAATGCCTCGAAACAGTGACTAGAATGAAGTTCACTGGTTCAAATCGATCGCGTAACTTTCCTAGGCGCTGGACTCCGGCGTACAGCGTTCCAGAAAATTATTGCTATGCACGCTGATCGTTGGAATGATCGACAATCGAATTAACTGGAAAGCTCGAATCGTACAGTTGCTACGTATATTACGATGTGATTAAATTGAGAAATTCAAATACGACACATACAATTGAATTGACGGCGGTTCCCTTTAACGCGCAAGACAAATTACAGCAACCTGCTTGCAATTAAACAGGAATTACCTATTCGTAAAAGTTTCCTCGACGAGGTTCGCTCGGAAGAACTTAATTATGATTCTTCTTTGGGCGAGGTTGCCAGTAGAAAATCTGTGCAGGTGCTCCGAATGTCGTGCATCGGTGAAAATCCATCGCGTTAATTGGGAAAATGACCCCTGGCGTCGGCTAAGTGCGATCGTTTTTTGCTGTTTCCGAAGAATCGAAACGACGTCGATGAAATCTCGAAAATATTTCCACGGACGGATTCAAATTGTACGCAGTGGATTCGTTAACGACTGCCATCGAGATTGGAAATTTACGCCATCGCGCTCGAAGAATATACGCGATATTAATTGTGCATCGCACGGCCAATGTATTCCAATTACAAGATGTCGTTTTCCAGCGATTTCCCAACGCCGTCCGTGGAAAAATCTATAAAAC